CACTCACCCCCAAACTTATGCTTTTCATTCATCTTAGGATACACCCCGAGAAAATTGAGTGAAAAACATAAGTTTGGGGGTGTGTGTATCTCTCGAGCGAGGAAAATATATATTTGACTACGATAGGTCAGTGATAAAACCAATCATAATCTTAATATGTTGACATGCGTTTTCACACACACACACGTCAGGTTATGCATGTAACAGGTGGAGACTGATTTAATTTTTGCACTGTTGTAATTGTTCATTTGTCTGACTACCAAATTTCAAACCTGAGACATGGCATATTGTTAAACCATGTTGTTTGTATAGTTGAATTATATTATTGTTGTTTGAGGACAAACAATAGTTCAAGTTTGGGGGAGTTTGATAAGTGCGTTTTTACATACTTATTTTACTGTCAAAACATGAGCAATTGTTATTAATATGTTGGAATATAGCTTAATTCTATGTAATTTATGTTTTGCAGGACGAATGATTAATGTAGCGGAAATAAGAAGAAACAAGTGAAAAATGACCAAAATGGAAGAAAGTGAAAGTTCTGAGACTAAAGTGAAAATACTCAAAAATTATGTCGGGGCTCACGATGAAAGTTCGAGAATGCTAAGGGTCGATTGGAAGCAATTAGAAGTCAAAAAGGAATGGAATATGATCAAAATATTATCAAAATCAATTTCCAACTCGCACAAGATATATTCCAGATTTTTAGCCGAAACTTGAGACACATTTTTGGCATAATAAAAGTCCGAATTGGAAAAGATCTATTTTTAATAGTTGTAGCTCTTTGAGTTATCTTTCCAAGGCATTTTGAATCTTCTAAATCAGATATCAGAATAGAAAGTTATAATTAAATTACTAAATACTGTGTAGAGACAAAAAATTCGCGCGAGAAGGCAACTTTCCTTATTCGATTATAACTCTTTTGGAAACCAATTTGGACGTGATTTTCACCCAATTCCCGACTCCTACAAATACTTAACAGCAGAATACATATGGAGAGAGCTCTCATACACCATTCGTCTCTTCTTTGGTTCAAGAAACTTTTGGAGAACTAAAACACTTGGTGAAGCTACGAAGGAACTCGGTCGGAATTGGTGATTTCATGTCGTTTATTCATTTAATTTGATCTTTTCATTGTCAAAAAATACTAGAATTTAGATTTTCATTCTCTTGAATTTATATTGAAATCGGTTTAATATTTACAAGATTTTTCATGGATTCAGTCATACTTTTTCCATTGTTCAATCAAACTATTTATTGAGTTTCAATTTCAATTATTTATTGTTGAA